AAATTTTGAATTAAAAAAATAAATAAACAAGAACTTTTAAATAGTTAATTTGATACTGATATTGATATATTTTTTGCAAATTTTATATGATATTTTTAAATTTATATTTTATTCAAAAATAAAAACATTATCTCTTTTTCAAAATCAAATAAAATCGTATTATATCAACATGGATACAAAATAAAAACGAAATATTGAAATGAAAATGTGTCTCGATGCTTTGCACGAATACCCTTCTAGTATAATATAAATATATGTAAAGAAAGGATGTGTGTGATTTATATTTTTGGTCCCTTGTCGATATCTGGTTTTTGGTTTTTGTCCCTCAAATTCATAAAGTACACTTTTGGTCCATTATTCGTGTTTCAAGGCCCAAACTAATCATTTCCCTTGACACCTTTAGAGGGGCATTAACGAAGCCAACTCTTTTGTTTGTGGGCCCCTGTTTTGGGGAAATAGAAGTTCATATGAAAAAGTCCAACTACTGTGAATATCACATGAGTATCTATCCTGGACAAGTCTTTACGGGCAAACATCATCATATTTATCTATCTTATCTGGAAATATTAGCATTTAGCGGTTAAAAGTCTTCTCTCTCACTTGCTAAGTAAGATTTTTGGTCCGTTCTATAAATATTATGTCTCTATTAGATAAATTATAGATATACATTATCAGATAAATGTTAACATACAAATTTGTATAGGATTATCATTCCAAGATAGGTATTTTAGACTAGGAAAATTGCATGAAAAAGTAAAGTACTTTAATTTTATTCATATTTTGGGTAACATACTTTCAAAACTTCCATTTTGGTACCTAAGATGTAAAGTTTTAAGCATTTAAGTACCCAGATAACCAGTAGAAGCATCAAGCGGTTATCATGTTGATGTGGCGAGTGATGTGGTATCCAGCTCAGTATTATTTGTTGACGTGGTTAGTAACATGGATTTTTTTAACCTAAAATTAGTCTTCAACCTGTTACCCGAGTACTTAAATGTTAACACTTTATATCTTAGGTACTAAAATGAAAGTTTAAAAGTACATTACCTACAATAGGAATCAAGTTAAAGTACGTTACTTTTTCATGCAATTTATCCTTTCAAACGCTACAACTAATTGTTTACAAGGGTATATATCAAAACACATTTCTTGGTGATGCTGTGATAGCCTCTTATTAGGTAAGATTACTGATTTTTACCATTTTCACCTGCTAAGGAAAGTAACACCTGACAGTCGCTTACTTGATAAACACCCCTTAGTACCAAAAATCTGTTAGTCCTGAAATGGAAAAGAAATCATCAACACTTTTTGACAAAAAAAAAAAATTGTTCTCAGATCCTCACAAAATTTTATTCTCATCAGAACTCAATCGAACTATGAAAAGTTCACAATATGGTAATCCAGGGAGGGACCGAGGGAGTTTTGCAGTGGCATGTGCCATTATTTCATTCCTCTGTCGTAATGTAAAAAATATAAGGTCATGAAAAGTGTCACCGTATATATTTTGAAACTACAACACCAACACAAAATTTCCTTGGTAGAGTTGGTTTGCAAAACTTTTCTTCACCCTAAACCCGAGTTCAAATTCTATTGGTGTCATTTTCTTAGTTTAAAGCTTTTAATTTCAGATTTATTTTGTTTCTGAAAAAATTGCAATAAAGAACTTAAACATAGACTTCACATATGAAAAACAATGATCTAACCTACATACCAATATTGATTTTGTGAATTTAAACGAAACGCGTATCATCAAGTTTGATTGATTCAGATGAATTGAAATGTTGAGAGATATGGATATAATTAATCTAGGGTTTTTAAGCGTGTGTGTGTCGATCTAAAAACCGGAATTCGAGCATCTAACACTTACCATTAGATGGAGTCGATATGAAATCTGTAGAAGATGATGGATCAATTTGAATCACAGCGATGAATTCTCCTTTTGATCTTCACATCCGAGAACAACAAAAAGTAAAGAAATCAAAAAGATTGGAGAGGAAAAAAAGATCCGACCTGCCGGATTCGAACCAGCGACCTAAGGATAAGCTGATAGCTTGATGCCAACTACAGTCCTCCGCTCTACCAACTGAGCTAAGGTCGGTTTGTGATTTAAGATATGAATCTTCAGATTCGATTCATTAAGATGAATGTAAGGGAAACTGAACAGTTGATGATACGAATTCAATCGATCTAGGTTTTAAGCGTGTGTGTGTGGGTCGATCTAGGTTTTAAGCGTGTGTGTGTGGGTCGAAAAAGCAGAAATTGGAGCATCTAACACTTACCATAGATGGAGTGTATATGAAATGTGTAGAAGATGCTGGATCGAGTTGAAGCACAGCGACGACTTCTCTCCTTTAGATCTTCACATCGAAAAACAACAAAAAGTAGGAGAGGGAAAAAGAAATCCGACCTGCCGGATTCGAACCAGCGACCTAAGGATAAGCTGAGAGCTTAATGCCAACTACAGTCCTCCGCTCTACCAACTGAGCTAAGGTCGGTTGGTGCTTCACAATCTGATCTGAAATTTAAAAGCATTGATTTACACAAGAGTGAACTTTTATATTTAAATAGGGAAATTTGGGTTTATATGTTCAATCAAGCGAATAATCGTGTAAGAGAAGAATTTAAGATGAGAAACGTAAAAAGAGATCTGAACCATTGATCACATTTAATTTCAAATTCACCTATGAATCGGGTTTGATATGGTGATTGATCTAATGCATCTCATCCTAACATGCATCTAATAGTGAAGATAACTTCTTACAATTCTCACATTAACTCTCCTTCTCACTCGAACCCAACTGCCAGGCCTCATACATCATAAATATTCTTGATGTTCACATGTTTTGGAAAAAAGTATATTTTCCTATAAAAGGGATTGCATTAGAGTTTAAGGGCCCGTTTACTAAACACTTACTTGCTAAGTACTTACCAGGTAATTTTCCTCATCGGATGAACATGGCAAGAGCCAAGAATCTTACCTGGTAAGAGCAATGATAAATATTGAGAGTCTTACCCGGTAAGTGAGGGTGACGACTCTTACCCATGTAAGCGCTTACCGGTAAATTATTGTATAGGATACGTTTTGATGTACTACAATCTTACCGAATAAAACAAATTATGGTGTTAGACTTCTAAAAGCATTTACCGGGTAAGCATTTAGGTAAATGGCCCCTAAGATTGTTTAATCCTCGACCATCAAAATGACATCGTAAGATTGTTGGTAAATACATTTTGCCCGATAATTGTTAACCAGGTAAAAAATTTGGTCTTTGTCATGCCTCTTACTGGGTAAGATTTTCAATTTTTATCATGCCTCTTACCGGGTAAGATTTTCAATCTTTGTCATGCTTATCCGTTACAAGTAAGTGGCATGATAAGCACTTACCTGATTAGAGTTTAGTAGACGGCCCCGATGACTAACTCAAATGGGGTTATCAGGAAAACTCAGTGTGTTATTATGAAGGGGTTTGAACCTGAATTTGAAAAATGGTTAGGGCCTGAAATCCAAATGCTTAAGAAAGCTAAAGTATTTGTGTTACTCGGTGGAGCTCAACTTAGGGTCTAAGTTGTTGTTCACCCAAATACTTACCTGATAAGTACTTACCGATAGGAGTCAACACTATAATTTATTTTGATACGTAAGATTTTAGTACATCAAAACATACTGAATGCAACAATTTACCGGGTAAGCGCTTATCTGGGTAAGAGTCATCATCTTCACTTAGCGGATAAGGCTCTCCATCATTCTCATCACTCTTACCTTGTAAGATTTTTGGCCCTTGTGATGTTCATCCGATGAAGAAATTTATCCAATAAACACTTACCAAGTAAGCGTTTAGTAAACAACCCCTTAGGCTTGATAGTGTTTTGATATAGTAGTTCGATTGATGTAATATATGAATATGAACTTTTGTAGCGTTGTGTTACTCGATATAACTTAATGTAGGCCCACTAGTAGTACTATGTGGATGTGAACT